TGTGTGTGTGTGTGTGTGTGTGTGTGTGTGTGTTTAGGGAGCATGTTGGCGCGCAAAGGAGTGTCAACATCATGTTGCCGATGGATATCGCTGAGCTGTTTCGCTCCGAGGGTCTGCACCCCCAACGGATGACCCTGCAGCCCTGGGCCACACATCGTGAGACACGCCAGCACAGCAAGGGGGTCTTCCTCAAGTCAGTACCTCCTCTGTGCCCATCTGAACAGGGACACGATACAAGCCCACACACGTCATTTATTTGAACAGGTTAGAGAAACATAACGAACACCAAGAGAAGGAAAACTTCAGCTACACAGAGAGTCAAAATGATCGTTAAGAGACATATAACAACCACAAAGAGAGAATCAGAGTTGAGAAGCAGAAGTATCACTGCACAGAGACGATGCTCTCGTGTTGTCTGTGGTCGTCTTTAAGTCTGTGTGCATCTATTTAAGAAAGGTTAAGATCAATCAATCAATCAATCAAACTTATATACCTTGTTTCAAATAAATCCAATTCAATTCAAAAGTGCTTTATTGGTGATTGACAAAACATAGGACGTTAGAATGGAATGGTCAAATTTAACGCCTTGCTGCAATTTCTTCTTACCACAGGAATGGCGAGGAGTGGAGAGCTGACCGTCTCCTGCTCAACAAGGAGGTGATGATGAGCGCGGCCGTGAAGCGGTTCCTCCCTCTCCTTGACGAGGTGTCGAGGGATTTCTGTCAAATGCTGCAGGCAAGAGTGGAGAGGGAGGGGAGAGGAAAGAGGGGGAAACGCAGTCTGACCATTGATCCGAGCCCTGATCTCTTCCGCTTCGCACTGGAAGGTTGGAGGTCATCATCATCATCATCATCATTGTGGTTTCTTGATGTACATTTCATGTGTGATTGCATTTATTCACCCTGAGGCCAAGCACAAAATTTTCTGTCAAGGTGTTTGGTGTAGAAATATTTTAAAGGATGCGTGTCTGATCTCCTCTCAATCCACCAATGACTGACCTTGATGTCCTTAGGGAGGGGAGGAGATGGATTAATGTCACATCCCTCTTTTTGACGAGCTTCCATTCAGCTGGGTTGAGTCACGTCTGCTGACGCAGGCTGTGACACCTTCTCACGTCAGAGACCTTATTATACAATCTCCAGGAACATCACATTTTTAAAATGTTTTTAACTCTTTGCCTTGATAATGTCCCTCCGCCTCTGCTCTGTCTGGCTTCATTTTAAATAATATTCTCACCTCGTCAGTGAGAAGCAAATCTCGCTCTAACCTGAGGCGTATCGTTGTTAACAAAATGCAGATTTAGAGGGTCAAGGAGAACACCTTTCAAAATAGAAACACCAAATAAGACGATCAAAGCCCCGGCATTCTTTCACCGGGTCTGCTCCTTTCATGTTCCTATCTGCAACATGCCACATTCACAAGTGTGAATGCCAGGGTGACTCACACTGGGGTGAAGAGGGGGAGAGCTGATGACTTTGAGTTATGCTGGTCTGGACTTAATGGACCAGAGCACAGAGAGCCAGGTGCTGAGCCTGGGTAGGAACAGGCTGACAAGAAACTTGATTACAGATTCAGTGATGTGTAGTTAATACAACACAAGGGTGTCTGTTAGGTGTTGGGTTTCCTCTGAGACATTGTAAGTACTTGGAAAACAAAACTGTCTCTGTGTGTCGGGCTGGATTTGAAAAATATTGAATGTTTTCTTGCTGTCGCAGAGATAAAATCCACTCGAACCTCTCAACAAAACACATTTTTGAATTTGTATGGATACTTCTTGATGCTCATAAACTCAAAATCATGTTATGATCAGCCCATCGGTGAAAGTTTAAATTTACAGCAAGAAAATGTATGAGTCTGGAGGTTTTACAATCAAATTGAAAAAACTTTTCTGGTAAAGCCTTTATTCATTTACACGATAATCTAACCAAAACAGTGTCTCAGATTAATTGTGATCTGATTAATGTTTGTCATTTATCTGTCACCCATACACCCCCTCCCTCCCTCCGCCCAGCAAGTTGCCATGTGCTGTACGGCGAGCGTATTGGCCTCTTCTCCTCATCACCCTCCTTGGAGTCTCAAAAGTTCATCTGGGCAGTGGAGCAAATGCTGGCGACCACCCCTCCTCTCCTCTACCTGCCCCATCGCCTCCTGCTCCGCATTGGCGCTCCCCTGTGGACCCAGCACGCCACTGCATGGGACCACATCTTCAGTCATGGTATAGAGAGCTACATTGATTGGACTTCTAATGGAGGAATAATCAGCCATTTCTGGATGATCTAATGCTCTTCAATCAATATATTTCTGCTTCATTACTCTCATCTCACCTGACTCTGTAATCCTGTCCTGTGCCTCTTCCAGCAGAAACCAGGATCCAGCGGGTGTACTCGCGCCTGTCATCCTCCCAGGGTCGAGGGCCTGAGGCTGGGGCAGCTGGAGGCCAGTTCACCGGGGTTCTGGGCCAGCTCATGGAGAAAGGGCAGCTATCTTTGGACCTCATCAAAGCCAACATCACTGAGCTGATGGCTGGAGGGGTCGACACGGTGTGTGTGTGTTAATGTGTGTGAGTTAATGTGTGTGAGTGTGTGGTTGTGAGAGTATGTGCCTGATTGCTCTCCTTGGCTCTGAGTGTGTATACCTCACCCCGACTGATTCTGTGTCACCTCTCATCCCATCTTCCATCTTCTCTGCAGACAGCAGTGCCCCTGCAGTTTACTCTGTTTGAGCTCGGCCGCAACCCAGAAGTGCAGGAGAAGGTGAGGCAGCAGGTGAGAACATCATGGGCTCAGGCTGGTGGGGACCCTCAGAAAGCCCTGCAGGGGGCGCCACTACTGAAAGGCACAATCAAGGAGATTCTCAGGTACAAAGAACCAAATACTGTCTGGAAATTAGACAAATAGTCTACGTCTGTTAGACCAATAGTTTGACCCTGTTTTCACCAATAGTCAGGTTTTATAACAAAAATTGTGAAAATGTCACAAATAAGGCCCCTCATCCAGATCTTGACCAAAATACAATGATTTTATCTTCAGGCCCGTGCCCCATCATTCAACCAACGTTTTGTGTACATTCATTCAGTAATGTTTGGATAGTCCTTCTGAAAAACCAACAAATAGACAGAGGTGAAAACAACATAAAAATTAAAAATTGTGCCAGAAATTTGGGGCATCTGATAATTGGCCAATGAACCCAACCTAACCCAACCCAACCCAACCTATCCTAACCTAGCTTAGCCTAGCCTAGCTTAGCCAAACCAAACCAAGCCTATAACCTAACCTTACTGAACATAACTTAACCAATTACCCAGCCTCCCCTCTCCAAAGTGATGTCTTCCTTTTTGTATATATTAAATCTGTGAGTTACATACACAGACTTTCCTGAAGTAAAAAACATAATCTGTGACTTGATTAAATCTGATGTGATGGAAGCTTAAGATCAATAGAATAATAAAAAAACGAGCACTGTGTGTTTTGTTGTCGTTTTGGTTTGTGCCAGGTTATACCCAGTGGGAATTACAGTGCAGCGGATGCCAGTCAGAGATATTGTTCTTCAGAATTACCACATACCTGCTGGGGTGAGTGATCAGACGATGGCTCTCTTTTTCCTCCAAATCCTCCACATAGAAACATTTATGTATAATTAGTTGCAAAGCTGACTCACACTGTATTTTGATGGCCATCAACCTCTCCCCCTCAGACCATGGTCCAAGCCTGTCTTTATCCTCTGGGAAGGAGCACGGACGTGTTTGAGAATCCACAAAGCTTCCACCCCGACAGGTGGAGCAACAGCAGAGAGGGGGGACAGAGAGGAGAAGGGTCAGGGTTTCGCTCTCTGGCGTTTGGGTTCGGTGCGAGACAATGTGTCGGGAGGAGGATCGCTGAGAACGAGATGCAGCTCCTGATCATGCATGTGAGTGCAACAAACAAGAGAAGGAGGAAAGAGGAGGATGGGTTTAGAGAGAAAGGATGTGATGCAATAAGAATTGAATTGAATGGAAGAGATGGAAAGGCTGGTGTTGAGTTAAGGAAAGGGGCAGAAGATTTGAGAAGCTTAACCTGAGCAGACACAGGTTAAGCTTCTCAAATCCTCTGTGCAGCAGAAGAGACAGGTTGTGCTGCTGAAAAGTGGTGGAGGAAGTAGTCAGATTTTTTTTCATGATGTGGTTCTGGTATTTGTTTAACACTTCTTATAATAATTTATTAGAAATACCTGCAATATTATTGATATGAAAATGCT